GACGACGACGACTACTACGACTACGATTACTACTGCTACTACGACGACGACGACTACTACTACGACTACGATTACTACTGCTACTGCTGTTGCTACTACTATGTACTACTACTACTACTACTACTACTACTACTGCATACTGCCACTACTCACCAATCCCAATCACCACCGGCATCGTCACGGTCAATACTGTCGCCTAGTTGTAGTGGAATGCATGAACCCGGAGCCCTACAGAAGACGCAGAAGTCCCAAGGTCTGCCCAGATCCATGCATCGACCAGTGTTTCTGGCTTCACCAGGCTTTCTCCGAATCTCCGAACATGAGTGCAGGTTTAGCATCTGAAGGAACAACTCCGAAGGGATTCCACAGACGGAGCATATGCAATTTCTGAAGATCCCGTATAAACCCCCCGGGTCCTCGTGTACGAGGCTTTCATGACCTGTGTGTCCGCATCAATCCTGCTTGCTGCTTGCTCGTTTTGCCTGAGACGAAGCAGGGCAGAGATCGGGTGGTGCATTACATCAAGGATCCAGACAGACCAGACAGGCAGTTGCTTCTGTCAAGGCGTGAGGCTTCCGCCTTTTGCGCACGTTTGACAATGTGTGGGAACACAATGTGCAAAGGAGTCACTGAGACTTGTGGGTATGTCCTGCTATACCGTAAAGCAGGCTCTGAACGTATCTTCATAACATCCAACAACAAGAACAACAACGGCAACAAGAACACTACCGCGGCTGCTGCGGCTCCTACTGCCAGCTCTCAAGCTGAAAAAGCCTTTCATGCCCTACGCCGACAAGCCCCAAAATCCCAAACCTCACACCCTAAACCCATCTAGAATCTAGAACCCTTTTAGAGCCCTTATACCCCAAACCCTATACCCTTCCAACCTAACCCTAAAGCCTAATCCCTGCCTCAAGTTTGGGGTTCGATTCCATGCCCTTCATCTGCACTTGTCAGAAAGGTTTCAATTAGCTCCGGAAGGTGACCCACGAAGCATGCACATGATGTAGGGGCCTAAAATAGAATAGGGATCTGGGGTATAGTGTTGCGCCGTAATTATATCATGGACTATAAGGGAGTACCGGGATACCATTTCAGACTGCACCAACCTTCATACTAAGTTGTTGCCTTTGCTGGTCATGGATGTCTTTCGGGTTTAGGGTTCACGTTTTAGGATTTCCGGTCTTGCAGCTGAGGATTTGTGTGTGAAGTTGCGGTGTGGAGGATTCAAGATCAACGGCTTGATGTCTATAAACCCTAAAACTAAATCCTGAAAACCTAAGCCCCAGAACGCTTAACTTCACCCTACACCCAACACCCTCTTTGTGTTGAAAAAAATTTCGCGCGGAGCTCTGAATTCTCAGGCCAGTTGCTTCGTTTTCTGCATCTGCTCAGTCACCTTTGCGGGCAACTTACTGGGAGCTAGGATTAGGGGGAC